TGCCAGAAAGGTAAAGTGAAGTTTGATCTTTTTGATGATTTCCCTAACCAGTTGAAACCTTTCTTGACTGGAGATCATTTAAAGTCTAATGTTTTTTTTAGTAAAATCAGAGCTTTCAACAACGCTTTAGCAATGGGTAGTGTAGTGGCTAACATGCCATTACTGGCTGGCCGAGGTCCACCAACAGTTGTGGTGCATGGACAAATGTATCGCCAAATTGGCTCTTTGCTTTTCGGTGATAATTCATCTCCACGGTTTGCGCAATACTATATTTTGGATCCAGATGAAGCGGCTGATAATCGTTTAGAAGCTTTTAGTTGTGATAGAGACGTAATGGTTTATCTTTCATCTCTTTTTTTAAGAAAAAACGTGTTAGCTCAATCATACAGAATGATGGGTGATGTGATGAAAGAGGAGAAAGACGCGGCAGCTAGAGAGGGAAGGATTATGCCAGAAATTAGGATGTTTTTTGTTACTTCAAAAGATATGGATTTAAGAAGGTACAACGAGCCAACAGTGAACGAAGTAGCAATTGTTTATGTTGTGAATGATGAAGCTGAAACCCCTCCAACCCGGTTCATAACCGTATACGGTATTGGACAAGGCCTTCAGACAATCAGTGAAATTAATGCTCTATGTGATCCTTTGACGTATCCACTTATTCATCCCACTGGAAGGAAAGGATGGGAACCTGAAATGATTGCAAACACCACATCGGTCAGTACTGCTCGTGTGACCCAACGAGAGTACTATGCCTATCTATTATTTACTAGACATTCTTTTAACGCGATTCATTTATGCCGACGACTTTTCCAACAATATATAATTGATGCTTATTTGAAAATTAAAGGTTCTCGTTTAAGATTTCATCGGAGAAATCAAGATCAATATAGGATGGAAACGGTCAGTGGACTAACAGAATTTTTAGATAACACTAATGGAGATGATACTATTTGACAAAAAATAATATTACCCAGCTCTTTTGTGGGTAGTCCACGGTCTATGAAAATGTCTTATCAAGATGCTATGGCAGTCGTTAGTAAGTTTGGTAAACCTGACCTTTTTATTACGTTCACCGCCAATCCAAATTGGAAAGAAGTGAAAGAAAATTTATTGCCAGGTCAGCAAACGGCTGATAGACCGGACTTAATCTCGCGAGTTTTCCACCATAAAATGAATGCTCTCCTGACAGATATTGAAAAAAACAATCTTTTTGGAAGCGTTGCAGCTTACGTCGCAGTTGTGGAATGGCAAAAAAGAGGTCTTCCACACTGCCACATTCTAGTAAGCCTTCACAGCAAAGATAAAATTCGAACTGCGCATCAAGCAGAAAAGTTTATAAAAGCAGAAATTCCAGATCAAGATTTAGGTCCAGAACTTTATGAAAAGGTAACAAAACAAATAATGCATAGAGTTTGTTTTTCGTTGGTCGGAGATTCGGCTCCTTGCTATGAATCAATCAACGGATTAAAAAAATGCAGTAAAGGATACCCTAAACAATTCAGTGAGAATACTATTCTTAACGAAGATAGTTATCCATGTTATCAAAGACGTGATGATGGTAAGTTTTACGTACATAACAATTTTAGGCTCGATAATAGATATGTAGTTCCCTACTGTCCATATCTCCTGAACAAATTCAACTGTCACGTAAATGTGGAGGTCTGTGGAATGATTAAGGCCGTTAAATATTTGTTCAAATATGTTTATAAGGGGCATGATAAAGCACGTTTACGTTTAGAGAACAATCAAGATGAGATAAGCAGCTTTGCCGATGGAAGATATATATGTGCTCCCGAAGCTGTTCATAGAATTTTAGGTTATAAAATAGAGCGGCGTTCACATTCTGTGTTCTGTTTGCACGTTCATGAGCCGAACAATAGATTGGTCCGATTCCAACCTGGCCAAGAAAGGGAAGCTGTTGATAAAGCGAATGAGGTTCATAGCACTTTGGAAGCATGGTTCGAGTTAAATTTGAACAGAGAAAAATGTCACTATGATTTTGATCCACGTTCCCTATTGTATACTGAAATTCCGAAACATTTTATTTTTGCTTCAGGAAAATGGAATGCTAGGAAACGTTATAGTAAACCTGTTATAGGACGAATTCATTATGTTTCACCACATCAAACAGAACGATTTGCTTTGAGAATGTTACTGCTATCTAGAAAAGGAATTACTTCTTTCCAAGAAATGATGACTGTTGATGGCGAATTGTTCTCTAGTTTTTCAGAAACAGCTAAGGCAATGGGTTTGTTGTTTGAAGATGATGGTTTAAAAAAACAATTAATGAGGCAGCTGCTTATCATATGCCTTTTGAACTGAGAAATATGTTTGCTATGTTGATAGGTTTCAATAATCTGACAGATGTGGAAGAATTATGGAATCGTTTTCAAGCGGATTTAGCCGAGGATTTCATTCATGAAGGCTGCTCAGTTGAAATGTCTGCAGCAAGAACGTATTACGATATCGAGAACAAATTACGCACTTACGGTAGAATAATTAGAAACATACGTTAGGAAACCAGTTATTCCCTA